GATCCTGACCACCTGATGTTGATCATCATCTCTTTCCTGTTGTCCACGTTGAGCACTAGGCTGTTTTACACCGATCTTTAATTTTCCAATTCCATGTCCAGGTTTTCCTCATGTGAAAATTCAGCCATATATTTTTAAAGCAGATTTACTACAGATTCTCTTTGCATTTTATTCCATTCAGCTTAGAGTCAATTGGCCCACAATGTGTAGTAGGGTCTATGGATGGATGTAAACAGTCAATTATATCCACTTTCATCCTCCTGCTCCAGTGTGAAATACTTTCCTTGGCCTCCATCCAGCGCCCACCCCCCCACCACCCCCGTTCCCCGCTGGCAGAGAGTCTGCATGAAGCACTCATTTTATACTTGGGCCAATAAAGTCAGCATTCCTTCACTCTCTCCTCTGGATATGAGCTAATGAGAGTTGTGGTTGACCACTTAAACAAATAAAAATCATTTTACTTCCCCCATCGGGCTTGGTAGCTGACACTTGAGCAGGTAAAGTGGGAGTGAGTTAAAATGCTCCGCTCAAAATGCTTAATAATCATAATCATGTCAGCAGTTACAAAAGCTATAACACAAGCAGTTTAAGGGCCTATCACAACACAATAGAGCACAGACGCCATTACTGTTTGAGGGCGTTATGGAGGTAAAACTACAGGCTGCATGATGAAACTTAAAGCAACCGTTTCACATTCAACCTCCAACTCCAGGTAACCAAAGTGGGGGAAGTGGGGACCACTTGGTTATGGTGCCTGGTTGTTGTTAGTGGGTAGCCCTGCCTCACAGACCCAGCAGGAGACAGACCCCCGCCCCACCTTTTTATTTATTTATTTAATTATTTATTTATTTATTTATTAATATATACAAGTTTGGTAAACCAGCGATTGTTTCAGACATTATTCGGTACCAATATACCTTTCCTGTCATTTTAAACCACATATATATCAGTAGAGTTGCAACATGTGTGGATAATAACTCTCACTATCAATTCAGCTATTCTCTTTGAGCTCTGTTTACCCCACTTCAGCAGATTTCAGCCGCTCCTCTGAAACCCAGGTCCCTCGTCCCCCCCCCTCTCATCTTTCCCTTTGCGTGACAGTTTAACATCTTGTGAACTTGAGCGCACATCAAAGGGTGTTTGAAAATGGGTGATGGATCCGCTTGCCGCCTTTGCAGATTGCCTAAAAAGCTGTGGTAGTACATGCCAGCTGGGTATGTCGAGGCAGGGAAGCTGTAGTTTTCTTAAAACCCCTACCTCCGGCTTCTGTCAGTGATAATGAAAATAGAATAAAAGATGCCAACCAGCAAACTATATGTTTCTTAGGTTAATGTTAACATCTACTACTTCTTTGGTTCTGTTCAGGAGCGTTTTTGTTTTGGGACTGGACAGATGTGTTAAAAGTCCACTCTCCTGTAGTTAAAAGGTTTTCCTGCATCAGGACATAATAATGATAAAAGATGAACATATACCCAAAGTGCATGTAAACACAAAGCGCTTTAAGATAAAGCCAAAATAGAGAAGTTACACTGTTTGTAAAAAAAACTAATGACACCTTTGTTGCATCCTTAATCAAACCATTAAATGCATTAATTTCTTAACATATTGGTCATGTTTAAAGTTACATAGCATTTAAATTTCAAATTGAAATCTCCAGAAAGTAGAAGATCTTAGTTTTCAAATGAGATAGATCTCAAACATGATGCTGGTTGTGTAGCATTTTGCCTAAAGTTAAAAAAAAAACATGGCAAACTGCTAATATTGCTATTGCTACATCCACATGATCACAAATTCAAATTCTCATGGATAACATCATGTAGAAAAAAGGGGGTATAAAAACAGATCTAAATGAGCACAAATTATTTATTTATTTTTTCTTAAAATTATTTAAGATTAAGTTAAAGGATTATTTCAGAATGTATCCGTAAAACAACTGGTGCTTTAATTTTGGACAATGTCGATTAAAAAAAACGCTACAGAAAAACTGCTAAGAATGTCTAAAACATAATCCTTTACTAACATACAAAAATTACTTTTCCATGTTTATAAAACTCCAATATAATAACTCCAAATAAATAAACATTGTAGAAATATTTCTATAAAGAGGAAAACGCATAAAACTACATAAAGAACAAGTCAGTGACATATCCTGTAATTATAGACTTTAAGGTATATTTAATATAAAAACTGCTATTGAATAAGTCGTATTGTGATTTATATATATATATATATATATAAATATATATATATATATATAAATAGATTTTGAGTTATTGAACTGTATGCAATCATATCTCAAAGGGATGGATTATTCCCGTTTTACAATCTGCAGCATCCCTTATTGGTTTAGCGCTACTGTTGTCATTCTTCCTGTCAGATACTTTGCTTTAAAGGATGTCCCATCAGGTGAGAGTCGTGAGGTAATCAAGATAATAAAGAAAGTATAACATTGTTCTCTGCCTTAGATTACCCCTGCATCCGTCAGGTTTGCTGCTGAATAAACAAAGACTCTAATCTACTATAAAGTAGGCATAAATCGGTCTACTCAGCTGGAGCTGCTGCTGCATGAGTCGACCATAAGGTTTGATGGGAATTTAGTGCAAAAATAAAGTGAAATGGTTGGAAAACAGTGGGTAAATGTGTAGGAGACACATTTATGTTAGCAAATTAAAGACATTTGTACAAGGCATGACATTGTTTTGCAAGTAATCACACATTATGGAGCCGCTGCTGTTTGATTATCATGCTTAATGTGTCTTGCTTTTACTAAGTTTGTAACAGTCTCTGTTTTGTTTGGGTAATTATATTCAATATTTACCACCAGGGCTCATGGTGAATGTCTTAAGAGCCAACTTTGGTTGATGAATTATGAAGACAGAATCAGCATTGTTGTTTTAAGGTGCTACCGGTGAATCCAGCAAATGAGCTCTAAATGTTAATCGTGCAAAGCCAAGGCAGACTGGCATCGACAAACAAACTACACAGTAATTACTTGGAACATGGAAATGAACCTTGATGTTCCTGAAATGGGCTTTGTTATGTGGCTCAGTCAGGGTGTAATCAAGAAACGAGGCTGGTGTAAATTTCTATTTGTTTCAGCCAAGTTAATGAGGATACTGTGTTAAACAGCCACTCTGTGGTTTGTGCTTCTGCTCCTGGCACCCTCCTGTGTAGCATAGGTTTATTCTTCCTCACTCTTTCTGATATCTTTTCATCCCCCTGCTGATTAAAACTGAAATTATATCTCACCTTCGACGGGAAAGAAAGTACTTTAACATTTCCCTGAGCTGTTGATCAACATTAAACCTCTTGTGGGAACGGGAAGGGAGCTTTATTTTATTGCTGGTTTTGTTTCCTCTTCTGGAGCCAATGTTGGTCTGCATCAGTCATGGGGAAATGAACCTCTCTAAAACACCTTTTTCCAGGGTAACATATACTCCAACATGCCTGCATACTTTCTGATTATAATGTATTTTTATCAGCCTCATTATCTGAAGATGAATTTATAGCCCCAGTTAAAATAGGCAATTATCGACCACAGAAGAACTAAACTGAGCGCCTATATTGTCGAGACTTGTGTGTGCTTCCTGTCGTTCTCTATTCACACAGCCTGAAACACACTTGGAAATGGATGTGTTCTGGTCTGGTTGTCTCCGTCCCCCAGCCACGCAGTATGATGCTGACCCTCTCTCTAGGGGGCAAACAGGAAACAGGGTCTGCTGGAGCGCTATTTGCTCTTTAACATTTCTGTGTTACATGAAGCACCAGGAGAGTCACTCTGGTGATCCTGCTCCTAATGCGTAAGCAGAACATTCTAGGTCTGGGTGTTTTCTCTGAATTGTCTTGTTTTATTTAGCAGCATAGCACATTTCATACCATTCATTAATAGATTTCATCACTAAATGAAGCCTTAAAAGAAAATATTATCAGAATTTTGTTGTAGGTCTCTGATTAAGGCTTCTGCAATAATACCTTTTTTAACCATGATGTCATGAGCATTTATTATTAGGATCAGAGTTTATGTCATATTGTGCATTTCATAAAAAAAACAGGATACACCAGAACTTTCTAATTAAAAGTTAGTAGTTAATCCAGTACTTGTTGTTAGCACTACCAGAGTAGCTGTTTCTTAGTTTGATTTGCTTTAGAATGCTAATAAACCATTTTAGTTGAAAATTTGTTTATGATTTAGACAACAAATGTTTTTCTGTGACAGACAGATGTTGAAGCTCCAAAGGAAAAAAAAACAGAGCAACTTCTGTGTGTTCTGTTCATCACTGTCTTGCTCTTGCTTAGCCTCAATGAACCAAATATGTGTCTTAGTAAGAAAAGATTTTATGTCTCAGTTTCATATTCTGTCAGTTTTTTTTTATAGCTTTCAGCTTTATAAATATTTCTCAAAAAAATTATTGTTAAAGCTAATCATCTTCAAAGTATTGTTAATCAGGGCTGGATAATCCTGGTTCGGAAAGTAAAAAGCCTGACCAGAGATGACTTCCAACCATTTTCATTTGTAGCTCCAATATAAACAGAAACTATTGTGTAAAACAGGGGCATCAAACCTAAGTCAAGATAGTCTGTGTCATTCAGTTTTAACACTCCTGACTCCAATATGAGGTCATTAGCATTGATCTGCAGAGTTGAACTCAACACTTGGAAGGCATGTAGTTTAGCTGTGTAGGGTAAAGGGACGCATCTTAATGTTGATTTTTATATGAACAAAATGAAGAAAACAAAGGATTTTTTTACCTCCTGAGACTGGTACCACCTGCTCTTAACATGTATCACAATAGTTGAACGAAAAGTGTTGTTTAGAGCTCATATCTTCTATGAGTTGTCAATCTGAGGAAGTCTAACTTAGTTTTAAAATATATGTATTTATTTATTTCCATCTTAAGTTTGTCTGATTTAAGGCAACCAAAGCTAAAAAATGTTTTTTATGATGCAAAAACCTTTGATTTGAATGATTATCTGACAAATGTATCTGACCTACCCTCCAGGTGACCAAGATGGTGAAGACGGTGACTACCAGAACGGTGCGTCAGGTTCCCCTGGGGCCAGATGGCTTACCCCTACCTGAAGGCTCATCCCCTTTGAGCAGCTACACCGATTCCATTGACCGACGATACATGAAGAACGGAGGTGAACGCTTCATCACACCCCAAGCGACTTCGACCCTGACACGTGGCTATAACAACTCTTACAACGACTCATACGGGGAAACACCGGAGAGCCAGTACATCCGCCACTATGGCCTGCATGACGGCTACGCCGATTTGACAGACAACTATGGCAGCCTGTCGCGGGGCATCAACTTCCGGCCGCCGCGTTACCCCTACATGCCCAACAGCTACCGTCCGGAGAACAGCTACACTCTGCCTATTCGCAAGGACGACTACGGCCACGTGGCGCAGCCTCAGGTGCCTATGGGGAGCAGCACAGTGGATCTAAACCGCTCCCAACCAGAGCGATTTCAACCTGAGCCGTACGGCTTGGAGGATGATCGACGCAGCTTGGGACCTGAAGAGGAGGAGCCGTACGAGCTAGAACCCGACTACTCCACCGCCAGCCGCCGAACCCTGCCGGGGACTAACCGCAGCCGCACTCACAGGGAACCTCTACGTGACATGCACAGGGTCAGGTAGGAAGAAACCACTGTTCCCTACTCAGCTTATCGAAGTCTGTTTGAAAAAAACTAATTTGCTTTCATTATTTTTGCATAAAAAGCCAATTCCTGTCAATCACTTGCCTTAATGCATTTCTCTTGCATCAAAAAGACTACCACAGAAAACAGATGTTTCTCCTTCTTGAACAGTTTGCAAGGAAAGGAAGCGTGGAAAAAAACAAACACAGCTTGGAATGTCTTTTTTTCTCCTTCAAATGGACGATAAACATGTGTTTGTGTCAGAGGTAAAGAGGCAGGAATGACTGCAGACGTGACAGGAGAGGAAGAGGATGCCAGGCTTTTGTAATTTACTCTTCAAACTCTTCTCCTTTATTTTTTTTCCCAGCAAACTTTAGTGAGAGGAGTTCAACTCCTCACCATATTGGACAGGAGGAAAAAGCCTGTCAGCCCCCAACAATAGGTCCTAAAAACCAACTCTTTTCTGCTAATAGCTTTCACTCCATTTGTTGTCAACCTTAGGAGAGCTTTTGGGGAAAAACGTCCATCCTGAAATAAATTGCAACCAAGGGATTGAAGCTGAGTCTGCGTGTCAGACACTTCTTTTCGATCACTGATCTGTAGCAGATGGAAATTTTCAAGCGCCCTGCGCTTTTCCACTAATCTGAGGGTAAAATGTTTGGCGTCATGCCATTTCTAAAGAAGAGAGAGAGCGAGGCGAGAGCATGCGTGTTTGTTTTGATCCTGATCAAAGATGGAAAAGTAAGCAGGTTTCCAGCTTCTTAATTGAGCGTACGTAGTAGATTTAAAGGCTCCCACATTGATGAACATGAGCCTCAAAAGAGCAGAAGCCTTAATCAGAGCCTCTGTTATTACACACTTCAGACTCTGCTTACACACGCACTCAATAAAATCCCATCTTCAGAAAACAAGTCACTCCTCCAGCCGCCTGGTAAGAGGCGCTTGCAGTGACAGGCAATTTGTAGCCTGCCTTACATGTGTCACAACAGCCACATATACATATATATGCACTCAGAAACATGGAGACAGACACTCACATGCATTCACAAACACATGATTAGTTTCAGCAGTGTATTTCCAAACTTATCTTTGCATTTAGTGTGCATTGAAAACACAGCCGGATCATTAGAGTTCTATTCTATAAGCAGTTTTTTTTATTTCCTACCTCAGAGGCGTTACTATCAGCTCCCCTGCAGCACACAGACTCCTAAACACTGAGGCTGTGATTAGTATTCTTCCAAGACGGGACCAGCGTCTCCAAAGTGCTGTAATGAATCTTAGATTTAACACGCTCTAATTACAGCTTATCATTTCATGCAAGCCTTCAATTATGCACAGACAAAAATGGTGATATTTAGTACTAAAGCGGCTTTCTGCATCGGCGCCATGCGCTCATTTGGTCCCCGCAGCGGAGTCCATTGTGAGTAGCCATGTTGATGGCGGTGATGATTTGTTGTTAAGGATGGCTGGATGGGCTTCACTCATAGACTTCATGGTTAATTCTAGCTTTGCATTTTAACGCATTAGGACCTGCTGCGCCCCCAATTACTTCGTAAAATACAGTCACATGTTGCATGGCGTCCTAATGAGATAATTGCTCTATCCTTTATAGATCTGTTCAATCAGAATCCATTCATTTTTTTTCCTGCAAATTAGGTGTGTTTATGTTTCTGAGGTGGATTAAACTGCTTCCTATCATATTGTTTTCCTTTCCTTTTTTTTCCTCAGTCATTCAGTCTTTTTTAATAATATAATCATTTTAATTATTCATTTTTATTCTCTTTAATTATTTGTGCTGCCACTGCAATCTCTTCCTGTTGTTTTTGTGCGCAGCACTTTAAATGGAAATGTGCTACACAGGCTACATTCAGACTGCAGGCCCTTAATGCTCAATTCAGATTTTATTTTCAGGGTTGTTTACATTTCCAAATTTGTGCTAGCTTTATGTTATTTATGTTTATTAATATTTTTTTTAGATACCGGTAGTTGTGCAAATCATATTCGTTTCAAATTGTGTTTCACAGATCACATTATCTTCACTTCCCTGGAAGGACTTTCTTTTGTAGAGAGGAGCAACGTCTGCATAGACGTTAGCAACAACATTTAATGTGTCGACGTTGTTTGCCAATAGTGATTGTTTATTTTAGGGTAAAAGTGAGATAATTTGATCTGTGAAATGTAATTGGAAAATAATACGTTTTTTGAAATTCAATCTAAAAAACAGAAATAAAGAAAAAAAAAGTTGCTGAAAAAGTCTTTAAATTTTTTGCATTTTTCCTCAAATTTCAATTTAGAAAATGTTTTTTTTTTTTTTTATTTCCATTTCCAAAACGTGCAACAACCATTAAACAAAATTTCCCTACATAAAAGGGTTGAAGTAGGATTCATATTTCACTATACTCCAGGGATAAAGTCGCCTCTCAGTGATCTTTTGGCCTAATCTGTGTATCATTCAGCAGGCCTGTAATGAAGCATTTATGCTCCTCGCCTCATTTGCTTTTATATTTAACATCTGCTGGGAATGTTTTAGTGGAGGGTTTTTATGAGCCTAACTCTTGTGTAAGGTAAGGGACATGCTGGCATGGCTGCTTTCATTGACAGGAGCTGCTCTTGTTTTGCTGTTTTCAGTGATCCCAGGAGCTGAAGATCATTAATGCTAAATTTTCCGTGCAAATAGAAACATTTCATTTTTATCTATGATAATTTTACTGCCATCTACATTTTATTTCAGAGTGCTCAACTTTTTCATGATTTTTCATGTTACAACAATACTCAGAAGTTTGTTGATTGTGTACTTGAAAAAAAGAGTGGTACTAAAAGATATTCTGCAGGATTTTTGCAATTTTCTTAGAAGACCTGCCCTCTCCACTTAAAAACAAAAAACACATGCATCACCCTGCACCCGCTCCGGAGAGGGAACGCCTGTTAAATGTATTTCAGAGCGCGCACAAGCCCATTTCTCTTCGTGCACACTCTGTTTAAAAGTTATTCTCACAGCTCATACAAGCTTACCGTGTCCAAACGTCCACCCTAACCCCTAAATAATTCAATAACTACAGTATATAGAGCGGGAATTAAATAGTGGACTTTATAGTAAACTCAGTTAACTTACCATTTGGACAGATGATTACTGTTTTTTGCTCCCCGTTGGTCACGTGACTCTGCTTCCACCATGCGGTGCCTGCACCATCTTTTTTATTAGTCGCCGCAGTCGGGAAGCGAAAGCCTAATGCGACAGCGTGCCGCTGTGACAGCAAAGCACTCTGCGCAAAGCATTATGGGATATATCTGCCTCTTCTGAGGCCTTTCTTTTCATCTCATACACTTCGTAGACACTTAATCTCTCACAACCCTCGACCATTTTCAAATAGCTGCGGTGAGAAAGATGAGCTTCAATGACTGTCATAAACCGTAGCTCACCACAGATATATGACTGAAAGTGCGCAATCGCAGAAAAAGATAGCTAACAGGGTGAGCACGTAGAACGGCTTTACGTAAACATACCACTAGAATGATTGAGGATTAGGAGGATGACTTATTTAGATAAAAAAACCTGGAAAAAAAGATCATCCTCTATAACTTAAATTTTAAGTCTAAACTTTACTTGCCCTTTTTTTTTCCCTACTTGCTTTGATTCTGTTATACTTTCCTATATTTTAATCATGTAAAGCACTTTGCGTTGTCTTTGTATTGAATTGGGCTGAATTGCCTTGCCTTGCATGAAAACGGAGAAGCAGTTTCCTCTCAGATTCCTCTTTAGTGGAAGTTTATATATAGATACTGTATATATATATATATATATATATATATATA